AGTCATGCATGGATGGATTTTGTTCAGATTTAGCACAATGTGTTGTACATATGCAGGTGCATTTCGGTCATGATCTGCTTTGAATGTATATGTCACTCAAATATGAACGGAACGGGGACGTGTCATTGACAATGACTTGTTCACTTACAATTTCAAGGTAATAAATATAAAAAAGTTTAAGTTTGTGTGTCATTAAAAAGAACGTCTGATCGGTAGCTCAGTAATTTATGCCCAGTGCACATTTTAGTCAACATGCAGTTTTCTTCCAGCAAGAAGAAAGAGGTATTAATTAATTCTTTGTATTTCTTTGTATTTATGTTCCTTACCATACAAAAACCCTCTGAAGGGGTTTAGTAGTGTAATAAAGTTATTATTAATTAATTGAGTTTCCAAGTTAACCTTTTTTTTTCCAAAAAGGGACAGGCCTGGGAGAACACTGGCATGGTTATTAATGTGGAAAAAATAATTTATTTTAAACTGTTAAATTTCAATTGCTATGGTGACTTGATGGTGCACAGAAAAGTCACTAACTCCATGTTTCAAAGCATCCCAATGTAAATTTACCTGAAACAGTGTCGGGATTTCCCCAACAATTGGATTACAATGGATTACAGTACTTTTAATGTACAAAAGCAGTCTGAACATTCTGACATGTCACAGCCTGCTAGACTTAAATCCTATTGGTAGACAGCAGTGAATGTTCTTATAATTATCTCGTTACCATGGTTTTTGTGTAGAAATTGTAATCTTTTGATGGGATGATTTTATGTATTTATATATATATGTGGTTAACGTAAAAATAAAATATTAAAAAAAAAATAACACATCTCTATCTATTTTCATTTGAATATATGAAACAAATTTGTCAAAATATGAATAAAGTATAGATCACTTGTTCTTGTTTTCATGTACTATCGGTAGTTAGTAGTGTCACAATTAAAAATACACGGAATTATACTATAAAAAAAAATGTTCAGCTAAAATAAAGGTTGCGAAACACCCACTTAAATTGAAGAGCTCACCTCTTTCATAGTATTGTTATGCATATATATATACATGTATATAATATGTGTGGCAACAAACAAACAAAAACATGCATTTGTTTTTTGCTAACAATTTTGTCACTAAATGAGAAAATAAAATGTATAAATATATATACACAAACAATTTGGGAAGGAACCATTTCCAGTTTAATACAAAAAGCACAAAATTGAGAACAGGTGAAATAGATACATAAATAAATTAAAAGTCAATTTAGACTTTAAAATTAGTTTCTCCCCCGAGTGCAATAAAAACCTGTATACACCTGTCAGGAAGTCCAACCACAGAAGCATTTACCGGTAATTGCCTACAAATTCTCATTATTTTTTTTCTTGGTTGAAATATTGAAATTTAAGCCACTTTTTGTGTTTTGAAAAGAAGAAAAGAGTATGAAAACATCCTGAATTAAATTTGTTAACAGTTTCTTACTCAGATAAGAAATCACGACTAGATTTGTGACTACAAAATGTGACCTCACAGTAATAATTTCACCATAGAGAGAGTACTTTTAAAATGCCAATACCGGTACTATAGCTTGGTACATACCACAAACACAACTTTGGTTGTTGTGCTTATATAATTTGTTTAAATCATGGTAGCATCCATAGAACATGTTAGTAAGGTGATATAGATGATATAAACACCATAGATACCGGTACTAAAGATGCAGAAACTTTCCCATCATACAACAGAGCAGAAAAAAAATCAGTTCTTATTATCTTCACTAATTTGTTCTATTGCATTTATTTTTATCTGTGTATTATAAATTGATTCTTCGGAGTCAGACGTTAACAGTCTATTCTGTTCTTTCTTCCAATTAAAATTCTCCAACTCGTATTCCGCTGCTGGTGCCGGACAACACTTGGAAAGAGAAAAGATTGGATGATTTAATTGATCCTATATTTAAACAGTATGTAATAAAGTTCAGACAATGTCACTGAATTATTTATATTTACTGATATACTTACAGGAATTCTTGCTAAGCATTGTAATCCTAAAGATATCAGACATTTCCATGTCTACAGAGCGGAAATAAATATCAAATAATATTTGAATATAATTATAGATATGTGTATTATGTCCTTTAAGATTATATTATTATTACTTATTTTTAAAAAAAAAAATTTTTCCTGTGTAACACACAATCGGTCATGGTAAAATACATATTAAAGTGAAATTAAATGAATTCCACCTGAAACAATTTGTGTAAATTAATTCTGCACAAAAAAAACACGTTTTTTATCATATGCACTTGAAAGTTGTTTGTAACTTAATTATCAATATGACCCGTGTATACGATCTGATAACTACAGATTATACTACCGGTAAACATAATTTAATTGGGTGTTATTTAACAGCTCCACATTTTGTTATAGGGTTACCCCATTTGAAAAAGGAAAGGTGGGCTGGAAGGTTTTGTGAGAACAAGAATTGGATGAGGATTAGGAAAACAAATTTCAATTTATTTGAGTGATAACTGCATAATTGTGGAAAAGGTGAATTACAAAATTATTGTGGTGTTTAATAGTGAATAAAAATGTGAAAAAAAAAAAATTCTCCCGGCCCAACTGAATTATACTTCAATTTTTTTCATGATTTAGGACTAGGTATCTGGTGAAATTGAAGATTGAATTTTACTTCCATGTTAATCACACAATTATATACAAGTATGAAATTACCCATAATGCATAGTACAATAACATTATACTCACCAAATACATAATAAATGCAATATATAAACCGAGTAAAACGGCGATTACTGTGTATACAGCCCAGTTTTGCGGTAGAACACCAATAAATACAGAGACAAAGTATAAATTTACACTCATAACAAGTACAGCCAGTGCACTAGCTACAACTTTAGAAAATCTGGAAGATAAAAACAAACATAGTTAATCCATGTATACCTTGCCCTTGATGAATCCAAAATAGGCGTGTGTACGAACTAATGTTAACTTTTGTATCACATAAGACAAAATTATGGACCTTAACGATATCAAGTGATAATTTGAAGATTACTTACATGCCGTTTTTAAAATCACCCATTAATGAGTTGACACTTGTAAATGTTAAAATTGGAATTAATGCGAATGGGAGCTATAAATAAAATGAATTAAATCAAATCAACAAACGGATCTTCTTATCATAGCTGTAGTAATAATAACTAATATGAGTTACTGTGGAATACTTTATTTTTACTTGGATTTAATTTTCGCTGAAAGAATGATTCAGTGAAAATACTTTTTTTTCCTATATTTTACTTTCGACTTGTCAAAAATCAGTGAAAATAAATTCCATACAAAACCACCCAAAAAGTCTATTCAGCGAAAATTAATTCCAGCTAAAATAAAGTATTTTACAGTAATATCATATGCATACAGTGTGATGTAATATGTATGGGACACATTTCTATAGGCCGTCACACTTGTTTAAGCTTTCTGCATGTGCTAAGTGACTGGATGACAAAAACCGATCAATCTATTCAATGATAAAATAAAAGCATTGTTTGATGCTTCCTTTATTGAATATTTATGAATGTGCCCTGTTACTAAAACAATTTAAGAGCAATATTGTTTCTTAATAATACTGCAATTCCAGTGCTGGCAGAAAGTTCACAGGCAAAATGTGAGGGACTTCTAACTTCAAGGGAAATTGTTGATACATTAACTTCAATGAAAGAAAATAAAAGCCCAGGAAACGATGGCTT